ACTGTCCAACCTGCCAGCAGCAGAAACGAACACTGAGATTGAGATATGGGACCACTCCTCGGGGAGATCAGCCAGGAACCTAATGGCAGGTTGACTACATTGGACCACTCCCGCCATGGAAAGGGCAGCGTTTTCTTCTTACTGGAGCAGAAACTTAACTCTGGATATGGATTTGCATTCCCTGAAGGTAGTGTTTCTGTTAAAACGACCATCTGTGGACTTACAGAATGCTTATCTACCATCATGGTACCCCACACATCATCGCCTTAGACCAAGGGACTCACTTCACAGCAAATGAAGTGCAGTAATGGGCCCATGCTCATGGAATTCGCTGTTCATCACCATCCTGAAGCAGTTGGTTTGATCAAATGATGGAATGGCATTTTAGAGGCACAGTTAAGTGGTACTACCTTACAGGTTGGGCAATGTTCTCCAGGAGGCTGTATACACTCTAAATCAGCATCCAATGTATGGTGCTGCTTCTCCAATAGCTAGGATCCATGGGTCCAGGAACCAAGGGTGGAAATGGGAATGGAAATGCTGTTACTCCTAATGGCTCACTCAAAAAATATTTGCTTCCTGTCCCTGTGACTTTATACTTTTTGGGTCTGGATGTTTTAGTTCCAAAGGGAGGAGTACCCAAAACTGGAAACACAGCACTGATTCCATTGGACTAGAAGTTAAGACTGTCCCCTGGCCATTTGGGGCACCTCATGCTTCTGTATCAACAGGCTGGGCCAAGATAAAAAATAGTGCCGGTTACACCCTAGGGAATCTCCATTTACATTGGACCAGGGCTATGCTCTGGGAAAAGATGTGACATCCACCCTAACCCCCCACAACTGATTAACTGACCCCCCTCAGATCACATCACAAGGGCTGACGAAAAGACTGCCAAACCACTGGCACATATTTTGATGAGACACAACTCATAACCACAGAGCTTCTAAGTCTGAGTCTACCATTATTCCATGGGGGTCTCTGAATGACTGGATTTGTATTTGGAACAACAGAAGTTATTCCAGTCCTTAATTTTAAAAGGACAATACTTCAGATGAAGAGATTTCTTTTAGCCAACAAGTCTCTCGCACTTTAATGTGTATTCAGGTAATCTGAAGGAAGAGTTGGTAAAAACTGAGATTCGGAACTAGTAGGTCCAGAATCACAGGACCCAAGGAACAGGAATTGTAATAAACTCTTAGATGCTGCTTGTCCATGCACATTTTGAGTAGCAAGGATTTCTTCTTTGTGTAGTAGGGATCCCTGGTGACGCATAGGTTAAAGCACTAGGCTGCTAACCTAAACGTCAGTGGTTTGAACCCACCTGTCTCTCCATAGGAGAAAGATTCGGCACTATGTTTCCATAACCATGAGCCAGAATCAACTCCATCCCACGTGAACACAGAAGATGTGGTATTTCTGTTATTGCAACACTAGATAAGTAAGACGGCATAAACAAGCAAAACCCAGACCGATGACGTCAAGTTGATCCTGACTGATGACAACCCCACGTGTTACGGACAGAACCGGATGGGAGTAAATTGCCAGGCTTTTCTTCCATAGCTACTCTGGGTGGGTTTGAACTGCTAACCTTTAGGTTACTAGTTGAGCACAAACCATTTGCAGCCCTCAGGACTGTAATGCCAGACATACAAACAAAACCCGTCTCTCCTGGAGTTGATTCTTACTCATGGTAGCAGTGTACGACAAAGCACAGCTGCTCCACGGAGATCCCAAGGCTGCCTCTATCTATCCTGTGGGGTGTGGCCAGTAGGTTCGAACCACTGATGTTTTGGTGAGCAGCCACATACTTAAGCACTGAGCCATCAGGGCTCCACAACTGGACAAAAGGTCCACGAAATTCCTTTAAAAATCCTTTTTCACTATAGATGTGGTTGTTGTTATGTGCTGTGGAGTCTGTTCCGACTCATAGCGACCTAGTACAGGGTTCCCGAGGCTGTAAATCTTTATGGGAACAGAAAGCCTCATCTTTCTCCCGCGGGTAGTTTTGAACGGATGACCCTGAGGTTAGCAGCCCGATTTGTAACCACTACGCTACCAGAGCTCCTTTTTCACTATAGATACTAAGCTGCTATTAGGAAACTCAAGGTGCTCTGCTAGCGTAGTGGTTACGAATCAGGCTGCTAACCTCAGGGACATCAGTTCGAAACTACCAGCTGCTCCACAGGAGAAAGATGAGGCTTTCTGCTCCCGTAAAGATGTGCAGCCTTGGAAACCCTGCACAGGGTGACCATGGGTCGAAACCCACTCCACGGTACTTAACAACAACATTAGGAAGCTCAATTCACTAATACCCAGTAAGTGTACCTTTGATACTATGGAGAGCCCTGAGCGTGCAAACAGTAGTTCATGTGAAGCCCACCAGCAGCCCCTAGATCTTTACGGCAACAGACAATAGATGATAGGGCTGGCTGTTCCCATAGATCTAGTCTCAGAAACTCTAGGGAGCAGTCCAACTGTCCTACAGGATCGCCGAGTCAGAACTGACTCGACAACTACACTGCATCCTCCAAAAATAACAGCAAGCCTTTCCTAAAGCATATGTGGTTCTGTTACGTAAGGAAACGTACAAGGCAACGGGAAAGACTGAACGGGACAGGATAATGCCCCCTTCTTGGTCCTTATCTCTCAGTTGAGTGGTCACTGACGTGGAGCCAACCTCTCTGGCAGGTGGACGAGAATTTAACACGGACGCATGTGTGTATGTGTGTGTGTGTGTGTGTGTGTGTGAGGACTTTGTGCTATTTGCCTACTTGTTTGTTAATAGCGCCGCAGGATTTTACAGATGCGGTATTGAAATGGGAATTCGGTCATTCCATTCTATGTGCACATTCACCTCTTACAATTCCGGTTGTTGTTTTCTTTGCTGTGGTCAGGGATAGACAGCCCTAGCTCAAATGGTCCTAGAACCTGCAAAGTTATGAGATGATGTCCTTAAAAACGGTTTTTTGAGAAGGAAGGCTTAAAAAGAAGAACCCAATTCAATAGTCTAATCACAAAACAAAACACTGATTTTATTTCTTACATATTTTGCACAAACCCAATTGAAAAACAAAACAACACTGATTTAATTTCTTACATAGTTTGCACAAACCCAATTGAAAAACAACACTGATTTTATCTTACATGTTTTGCACAAGTCTAATTGTGAAACAAAACAACACTCTGCTTTTATTTCTTACGTATTTTGCACAAATCCAATTGCGAAACAAAACAACACTGACTTTACTTCTAACATCTTTCGCAGAAGCTGGGGAGAGGCACTGAGAGCTATTTATTACATGTAATGAACAGTTGACACAAAAAAGAGCACAGCATATAAATACGGGGTTTTCTCCATGTTCCACCCCAGTGTTTTCACATAAAAATACCAACACAGTTATGCATTGCTTAACATTCACAACACATTATATAGACTTTGTGCAAACATCAGTGTCCGCGGGGAGTGGGGGATTCCACTTGCACTGGCTCCTGCTGTGGACACCTCAGGTGAGGGCTCCTGAGTCCCCCCCCTCCCCCCCAGCTGTCACTGTCTTCTTTGTTAAGACAGCTTGCAGGAGAAGCCAGCTTGCCCACGAGAACTTGCCTGACGATGGGATGGTGCAGGTCGAGGGGCCGAGGCACTCATGTCAGGGCTGGGTTACCCAAGACTGATACCTTTCCTCTAGTGCCCCATGGAACACCACCAGGCAAAATATGGGTAGACCTGCCAAGGATAGATTCTAGGCAAATTCTGTGCAGCAGCTGGACAGAAGTGGGAATCCAGTTTCAAGATGAGGGTCTGGTGTCTTAGCAATCAGACACTTGGGTGCCCCGACCCATGGATATGTATGTGGTAGGATGTTGCCCAACTGGATGTTAAGCAACGCATATCTGTATATTTATTCATATAAATATAGATGATTTGCTTTCTAATAGAACAATAATTGAAATAATTTTCTCCCTGTTCTGAACTTTCTTGTTCTTCGGTGCATCCTGATTCTTTCCCTGTTGGCCTGTCTCCACCATGTTGGATTTACACACTACAAAGATCAGATATACCCTCACAGCCTCGGTGAAACTATGGTAATGACTCGTACAGTCCCCACCATTATCAATGCTATCTGTAGACACCTAAAGATACACCCTTCTTTATTCTCATCCACAAGTTTTTGTTCACTGATGGTGGCACCCAGGTTGGTCAGAAAGTCCCTTATATTTGATGGGAGGGACCAGTCCTTGGAGAAGGGCATCATGCTTGGCAGAGGGTCAATGAGAAAGAGGAAGGCCCTCAACAAGATGCATTAACACAGTGTGGCTCAACGAATGGCTCAAATACAGCAACAAATGCAAAAATGGTGCAGGGCCGGGCAGTGTTTCAGTCTGTTGGACGCTGGTTTGCTATGAGTTAGAATTGGCTCAACGGCATCCATCAGAATTCGGAGAAGCAGACTCAAACTTTTTCTGCATGTGACCTTAAATTGGCTCTATCTGTAAAAACTGACTTCACGATTCCATGAGCAATGAAATCTCTTTAAAATTACACTGGATGTGCTGTAATTGTTGTTAAGTGCCGTCGAGTTGGTTCCGACCCATAGCGACCCTGTATAGGGTTTCTGAGGAGCAGCTGGTGGGTTTGAACCACCGATCTTGTGGTTCACAGTCCAGTACTTATCCTATAGCACCACACCAGGTGTAGAATAGATCATCAATTCTTATCAAGTGAAGAGTGAGTTTCCATCGCGATGAGCAAGTTCCAACCTTCTGAACTTGCTACTTTGAAACTGATGACTTGTGGAATGGTCACTTCCTCATCTGATTTCAAATCATCAGGTCAAAAGTCACTGATAACATCGGCTTTCTCAAAATGGGGCACTTCTCACCAGATGGTCTCATATGTACAAAAATTTACATGTTTTAGACAAACACATTTTCCCCATTCATCTCTCCCTGCTTGTTTGAAAACCTCAGACTTCACTTTCACAGATTCAAAAACACCCCTAGTCCTTTTCTTCAGAATGTGTATTCTGGTGTCGAATAAGGGATGAGCTCCGACTATATGCCTTCCCACATTTACTGCATTCATAGGGTTTCTCTGAAGAATGACTTCTCTGATGTCGGATAAGGTCTGAGCCACTGCTAAAGGCCTTTCCACATTCATTACATTCATAGGGTTTCTCCCCTGTATGACTCCTTTCATGCAGAATGAGGGACGTACGCTGGCTGAAGGCCTTTCCACACGTTTTGCACGTATATGGCTTCTCTCCAGTGTGAATTCTCTCATGTTGGGCCAGGTGTGCGCTCTGGCTGAAGGCTTTCCCACACTGATCACATTCATAAGGCCTATCTTCAGAGTGAATCCTCTTGTGTCGAGTAAGGGATATCCGGTGACTGAAGGCTTTCCCACATTCTTCACACTGATAGGGCTTTTCTCCAGTATGAATTCTCTGATGCTCAATCAGAAATGACTGACGGCCAAAAACTTTACTACATTTGTTGCATTTGAAAGGTTTCTCTTCAGAATGAATGTTCTGATGGATTTTAAGGTTTGCGGTTCCAGAAAACATCTTTCCACATTCTTTACATTCGATAAGTTTCTTTTTCCTTGTATGGACTTTCTGATGCTGCAGAAGGGATGAGTACCGGTTACAGACCTTATCACATTTATTGCACCTGTACACTTTCTCTCCGTTATGAGTTCTTAGATGTAGAAGAAGGGTTGAAAGCTGCCCGAACACCTTCTCACACCTGTCACATTTAAGGGGCTTCTCTGAAGCATGAAACCTCTGATGAAGCAAGAGCGATGAAACCTTACTAAAGGATTTCTGACACCTTCTGCATTTGTAAGGATTCTCTAAAGAACGCCTTCTCTGCTGTCGACTCCGACTTAAGGTTTTCATACTTTCATAAGGTTTCTCTCCAGCATGACTTCTGTTATGTTTAACAAGCACTGATTTCTTACTGAAACCTCTCCCACATGCTTGACATTTGTGGGTTTTCCTTCTCTTGTGAATCTTCTTATGAAGTGAAATGGATGACATCCGACTGAAGGCTTTCCCACACTTTCTGTATTGGTGGACTTTCTCAACAACGTAAATTTTCTGAGGTATACTGAGAGATGGGCACGGACTGGACGTCTTCCCGTGGTCAGAGGGTTCCTTGCTATCGTGAATTCTTCCATGGAGAGTAAGAGTTGTCCTTTGATCGAAGTGTCCCTCCCGATTACCAGACTCATGGCGCTTCTTGTCAGTGTGAACTCTCTGGTGAAGAATGAGTGAAGAGATCCGTCTGAAACCTTTCCTACACTTGCTACACTCATAAGGCTTCTCCCCAGTATGAGAGATCTGATGGAGTTGGAGGAATAAACTCCGACTGAAGGTTTTCTCACAGTCCGTACATTTTAACGATTTCTTGCCTTTCTTGGATTTTATTAGGACTGAGTTCGTTTTGCAGCCCCTCTTTCCTGTGGGAACTTTCTGATGGATGCTTTGCCCAGCTTTGTTGTACTGATTTGGGGGGAACTTCTTGGTCTTAAATGCAGACCCTGAGTCTAAAAGACATAAAAAAAAAAAAAGGAAATGTTTCTGTTTTCCTGTGCTGGAAAAACGAAGCTTCTAGAATATAAATGGAGGCCTTATCATTATCAATCACTAACAGTAACAACCATGATGATAACTACAACAGTAACATTTTGTGTATGGTTTCAGTTATGATACTAATGGTTTTACAGAACTTTTTTTTTTAGGCATTTAGGAGAAATTTAGGAGTCTGCAATTGGAAAATGAAACTTTATTTATAGGATAAATTTTAAATCATGCACTCCATATTTCCTTATAGTGTTCATTAGATAAACGTACTTTTATTGTATGACATGTTCAAAAAAGGCAAATCTACAGAAGGTAGATTAATGGTTGCCTATCTAATTGGAGTAACAGGCATAAGGGGTTTTATTAGGGGTGATAAAAAAGTGGATTATGGTGACTTTTACACACAGCTTGTAAAAAGAATCCTGAAATCGCACACTCAAAATAAGTGAATTCATAATATTTAGTATTTCCATAAAGTTATAAATTTAAAGTGTAATCTTAAAATACAATGTTAAGGCCCAAGGGCTCAGGTCCACAGTCTTGGGCCCACTGTGGTCAACTGGCATAGCACAGTGCACAAAGACAACGTTCTACATTCTACTTTGGTGAGAAGAGACTGTAGTCTTAAAAGCTTTAGAGTGGCCAACTCATCCGAAGCGAAGACGAGTGAAGAAAGTTTAAAACACTTGGAAACAATTAGTCCAAAACACTGAACTGAGGTCTGAACTCAGCCTCGAAGACCCTAAGATCAGAACTCAACGGTGCCTGGCTGTCCCTACAGATCATTCTGAAAAGGATCGCAATAAGATGTCCTGCATAGAGAGGGGAAAAATGTAAAACAAAACTTAAAATCATAAAAAAAACTTCAGGATTACTGGTGTGAACCCCAAAGCCTGTTCTCTTAGACACCTTTCCAGCCTAGATCAGGAATCATCCCTGTATCTCAACTCTGAGCCTAAAAGGAGACAAGGCTGTAAGGTGAACAGTATGTGTTCCTTAGAACAATCACCCATCTGAGATCAAAAGGGGCAGTATTTGTGTAGGACCAGAGCTCAGAAGGCAGGCAGGCTAGTAGAGGATGAATGCAAATGGGGAGCCCTGGAGGAAGTGGGAAGAGAACTGTTACACTGTGGGGTTGCAATCAACATCACAAAACGTGTCTAGATTTAAAAATATTTCCTTTAGCTGTAAATTTTCACCCAAATCACCACAAAAAGTTAAAAAAGAAATAAAATGTTGAAAGACACCAACAAAAGACTTAGCAGCTATTGTTGTTAAGTGCCGTCGAGTCATTTCCGACCCATAGCGACCCTGTACAGGGTTTCCGAGGCTGTAAATCTTTACGGGAGCAGAACACCTCATCTTTCTCCCGCGGAGCGGCTGGTACTTTCGAACTGCTAGCCTTAAGGTTTGCAGCCCGATTCATAACCACTACGCTACCAGAGCAGCTATTAGGAGTGGGTATTTAGACAGTTATAAGACTGAAAACATTGAACTCAAAGGGAATGTCGTTGGTAGGTACCATCCAGTGGATTCTGACCAACAGAGACCCTAGACCCACCGGAATGAAACACTGCTGAATCCTGCACCAATCTCACAACTGCCAGGTTTGAGTCCACTGCTACTGTGCCAATCCACCTCAGTGGGGGTCTTCTTTTTTGTTTTGTTTTTCCAGAAAAGCAGCAATTTGAATTTGAAAGCGATTTTATATGTGTGAGTAAATGAAAGGGGAACGGAAACCCAAAGAGAGGAGCTACAGGGCAAAAAGTCACACAGCCCCAGCACCCCATCTCTGCAGGCTGACCACCTCCCCTTAGTTTTCAAGCCAGGGTCATGTGTCCTCCTCCACAGTGTGCCCACCATAGTCGGCTCTCCTGCCGCACCTGAGGCCACCACAGAGAGGCCTGACTTAGGCTGGAGAGGCGTGGGGCAGCAGCCAGTGGGTGGAGAGCCCCAGGGAAGACCATCTCAGGGCCCCGCCTTTCCCAAACACCCACCTCTACCACCGGCGTTCCTTAGTCAACCTGGGGAAGTACAGTACTTTGAGTCTTAACTGCAAGTCTCTATCCTCAGAGGAAATTGAAAATAGCAGGTCAGCTCCTACATCTCCTGGACCTCCTTCACTAGCACCCCATTTTTATTTCTGTCTGACTGCAGGAGGAGGGGCGAGTGAAAGGGGACACTAGACAAGAGACAGTGACCTGATCTCTCCCTTCATCCAGAATGGTCCCAGCTGCCAGGCCTGGGAGAAGGAAGGCCTGTCAGAGTTTTACTATCATGTCTGTCCATCTCCTGGAATTTTCTACTCTTCAGGTGAGGAAGTACGTGGAGCACGATGTTGAAAGGGGGAGCAGGGTCCTGGGAGCAGGGCCAGGGCTTTGTGCTGGGGAAGAAGACCCTTCCAGGCAGGGGCTGGCAAGTCAGCAGAAATCATGAGAGACCATAACAAATCCAAAGACCAGAGGCCACTGCAGGGAGACAGGCAGTGGCCTCTGCAGTGATCTGGAGGGCCCTCTGACTCGGGATATCAAGAAAAGTCCTTGGAGGTGGGAGGGTGATGGAACCCTTCAAGGTTTCACCTCTGACCCTGCACTCTTCACCCCACCCAGGGTCTGGGAACGTGGTCCTTCCCCTCCCTGCCCCAGGGCTTAAAGTCTCTTGGGTGGATGGAACTCCTCAAAAGTGTGCGGAGGGAGCACCGGGTCTGGGTCCAGGCTCAGGCTAGATGGTGGGGAGCTTCAAGCATCTCCATGAGGAAGGTGTCAATGGGGGTGTTGCCAATGAGCTTGAAGAAAAACAGATGCTCTAGACACTTGAGGCCAATGGATCTCAGGGCAGGCAGTCGGAGCAGCAATTTGGCAAACCGTCCCTGCTGCTCAGGGTACTTCTGTTTGCAGTAGGTCTCCAGCGACGCGTACACTTTCTCCCGCAGGACCTCAACCTCACTGGGGTTGGAGAGGCCCTTGGCATCTGGATTGAAGAGAATGATTGCCCTCAGACATCCAAGCTCTGTCTTATCCATCTTCATGTCCCGCATTTTGGCCACTAACTCTGTCAGCACCCTGGACAGGGACCGGTCAAAGATGGCTCCCAGGGCTGCGGCCTGGGCTGAGTTGCGTTGCACTTGAAGACCTGTGGTGAGGAGGATGCCATCTCGGATATCAATGGATCGGTGGGAGAAGGAGGCAATGAGGAGCTCGTTCCAGCCTGCCCGTAGCAAAATGACCTGGTCATCCAGAGGTAACGAGGAAAAGTGTGGGATCCTCTTTGCCCACTCAACAAGTATGATGAGCTGTTTGTCAGTTGTCTGACTGACGTTAGTCACAGGGTCACTGGGGCTGCTGCCGCTACCCCCGGTTCCCCCAGGACCCTCAGTACCCTGGTAACTCTTCTGTTCCACAGCAAGCTCTGCCTCCAGGATCCTGTCCACAGGCATCTCCTCGGGGGCGCCCCCAGCCCCCTCCCTATCCCCGTCCTTGTCCTTTCCCCGCTGACATTCCTCCTGGACCGCTGCGGGGGGAGGGAGAGAAAGTGGACAGTCAGCAGCCAGTTATGAGGGGTTCAAAAATGTCCTTTAGGGAGTTAACAGGGTCTTCTAAGCCCTTAGGAAATTTTTATAGGAATTGAGGAAGTCACTCTAAGTGGTGGCCTGGGGACAGTCTGGAAGCATGAGTCAAGAAAGAAACAAGGAGAGTAAAGGAATTAGTAAGAGGAGTGAAGTGAAGCACACATTTAAACGAGGGGTTTATTATATGATAAGAAGTATGTCGAGCACTTGTAACATTTACACTATCATCACACCAACACTGCCAACTACTGTTCCCATTTCTTTACAATGAAGAGCTGGGGGCTCTGTAGCTGCTCAGTAACTTGCCCAGGTTCACACAAGGGTGTCTGACTACAAACCCTGTGCTCTTCACACTCATCAAAGAGGCCGTCAAAGGGCTGCTGGCCTGGCCTTCAGACACGGGGGCTCGGATTCCAGCCCTACCACTCCTTCACTGCATGACCTTGGAAAAGTCACCTCACCTACCAGACCTCATGTTCACCTTCTCTAAAATGAGACTGGACTAAGACACTCTCTCTTAGAATTCCATAAATCAGACTTAAGAAGGTAAGATGGAAGGAAAGCAAGTCCTGTGGATCGTCAGTAATGTCTACAGCTAAAGAGCGTAGAGGCCCAGAGGTCAGAGGAAAAACTGTAGCTAACACGGAGACAGAGACCAGAGAGGGAGCATTAGATCACAGAGAAAATGGACTATTCAGGTTACAGAAAGGGAGCTAGAGAGACCCATCATAGGAAAGGAAATTATCTCACCCTAGGAGCAACTGGGGAGAACTCACAGGAATTGGCCAGACAGGCAGAATCACTAAGAAAATTCTACAGGGTGCCAGGGGGAAGAGCTGAGAAGGGGAGTAAGAAAGCAAATATCACCCTTGGGAGGAGAAAGAGAACCCGGGTCTTCCTCTTTTTAACAAGCAGGATGTCCCTTCTCCAGGGACTTGTCTCTCCTGAGAACATGTCCAAAATACAAGAGGCAAGTTTTTGTTATCTTGGCTTCTAAGGAACATTCTGGTTGTACTTTTTCCAGCACAGGTTTGTTTGTTTCTCTAGCAGTCCATGGTACTTTTAATATTCTTCTCCAACCCCACAACTCAAATGAAACAATTCTTCTACAGTCTTCCAACGTTTACATGCATAGGACGCTACTGAGAATGCCATGGTTGGGGTCAAGCGCACCTTATACCTCAAACTGACATCTTTGCTCTTCAACACTTTAAAGAGATCATGTATAGCACATTTGCCTAATGCTAAGCCATTTGAACTGCAAAGTTGGTGATTCAAGCTCACCAGCTGCTCCTTGGAAACCCTATACAGGTTGCTATGGGTCGGAACCAACTTGATGGCACTTAACAACAACAACAACAACATATGTTGTTTACGGAGCTCTGGTAGCATAGTGGTTACGAGTCGGGCTGCTAACCTCAAGGTTGGCAGTTCGAAACTACCAGCTGTTCCGCAGGAGGAAGATGAGGCTTTCTGCTCCCGTAAAGATTTACGGCCTCGGAAACCGTGTATAGGGTCGCTGTGAGTTGGAATTGACTCCAAGGAACATCCACCCCACCACATACATAATGTTTGAATTCTTGACTGCTGCTTCCATGGGTGTTGATAATGGACTCAAGAAAAATGAAAATTTTGACAACTTCAGTCTTTTCTCCATTTATCATGATGTTATTTATTGGTCCAGTGGTGAGAATTTTTGTTTTCTTTACATTGTGCAACCCATACTGAAGACTGTGGGCTCTGAGCTTCACCAGTAAGTATTTTAAAACCTCTTTACTTCCAGCAAGCAAGAGTGTATCATCTGCATATCACAGCTTGTTACTGAATTTTCCTCCAATCCTGATGCCACACTCTTCATATAATCCATCTTCTTGGATTATTTGCTCAGTGTAAAGAGAAAAGTGTGGTGAAAGAATACAACCCTGGTGGCACACAATTCCTCGTTTTAAACATTCAAGTGTCCCCTCATTCTGTTCAAACAACTGCATCCTTGTCAACGCACAAATTCCTCACGAGCACTATATGAAGGGGTTCAGACTACTAATTTCCCACAATTCTGTCCACAGTTTGTCTAGATCCATGCAGTTGAAAACCTTTGCGCAGTCAATAAAGTACAGCTAAGTATCTTTCTGGTATTCTCTGCCTTCAGTCCAGATCCATCTGATGTTACCAATGATAGCCCTCATCCCACGTCCTTGTTGGAATCAAGTCTGAACCTCTAGCAGTTCCTTGTCAATGTACTGCTGTGGGCATTTTTGAATTATCTTTAGCAAAATTTTATCTGCATATGATATAGTCCTATGATTTCTGCATTCTGTTGGATCACCTCTCTTCCAATCAGTTGACCAAGGGGATGTCTTCTAAATTTTCTTGGCATATATGAGCGAGCACCTCCAGTTCCGTATCAGTTTGTTTAAAGAGTTCAATTTATATTCAATTAATTTCTGGAAACATGCTCTTTGCTAATGTTTCCAACGCACCTTGAGCTTCTTCCTTCAGTACCTTCGGCTCTTGATCATATGCTCCCTCTAGAAATGGTTGACCATCGACCACTTCTTTTTGGTACAGTTACTCTGTATTCCTCCCATGTTCTTTTGATGCTTTCTGCATCCTTCAGTATTTTACCCATAGAATCCTTCTCGATTGCAATTCAAGGCTTGAATTCTTCCTCAATACTTTCAGTTTGAGAAATGCTGAGCATGTTTTCCATTTTGGTTTCATAACTCCAGATCTTTGCACACTGCATTATAATACTTTGTATTCTCGAGCTGCCCTTTGAAACGTTCTCTTCAGCTCTTCTACCTTTTAATTTCTTCCATTTGTGTTAGCATCTTTATGCTGTAGAGCAAATTTCATAGTCTCCTGTGACATCCATTTTGGTCTTTTTCTTCTTCTTCTCGATCACCTTTTGTTTTCCTCCTGTATGATGTTCTTAATGTCATCTCACAACTCTTCATGTCTTTGGTCATTAGCGTCTAATGCGTCATCTCTGGTCCTTGAGATGATCTCTAAATTCAGGTGGGATATGTTTAAGGTCATATTTTGGCTTTTACTTTTTCTCAGCTTCAGCCTGAACTTGCATATGAGCAACTGATGGTCTGTTGTACAGCCTGCTCTGGCCTTGTTTTTAAAAATGTTTTATTGTGAATTATGTGATAGTTTTACATGGGAGAACATGTTTTACATTCATCCTATCGTATATTGTTTCATTGCTATGGTTACAATCCCCTCCATACATCATCAACCAACCCTGCAAGCCTGTTCCCGAGTCGTCAGCACACAGCCCCTCTCCCTCTCTGTGTCTAAAGTCCCCAGCTGCTCCATCTCTCCACGTCATTGTCTCTGCCTCCATCTCAGGCATCACTGCTTCTCTGGGTAGGGTCCCGCTCTCCTTTGATGGTCCCTCCACTGTAGACTGAAAAGTTAATCACTCTCTTCCTTGCTACAAAATGTCTACCTTTACATTTCCAACCCTCACAATCAGTCCTGATAACAATTATTCACTATTGTATCACAAGAGACCTATGCACATTTCATTTCATCTGGCCTTGTTTTGACTGATATGGAGCTTTTCCATTTTCTCTCTCCACAGATGTCATCTATTTGATTTCTATAGATTCCATCTGCTGAGGTCCATGTATATAGTCATCTTTTATGTTGTTTTTCAAAAAAGTATTTACAGTGAAGACATCATTGGTCTTACCAAATTTTATCATGCGCTCTCCAGTATCTGTCACCGAGGCCATACTGATCCTTCATCTTTGTTCCCAAACTTTGCATTCCAATCACCAGTAATTATATTAATACAGCTTGATTACATTTTTTGTTCAATTTCAGACTGAAGAAGCTGGTAGAATTCTTTAATTTCATCCTCACTGGCTTCAGTGGTTGGTGTGTAGATTTGAATAATAGTGCTGGTATGAACTGGGCTTCCTTGTAGGAGTATGAGTATTATTCTCTCAGACAACATGGTACTTCAAAATAGATCTTGAAATGCTCTTTTTGATGATGAATGTGACACCATTCCTCTAACTTATCATTACTGGCAAAGTAAACCACGTGACTGACAGTCAGATTCAAAATTGTCAGTACCAAAGCATTTCTGCTCACGAATGCCTAGGATATCCATGTTTATGAGCTCCATTTCATTCTCGACAACTTCCAATTTTCCTAGATTCATACTTTGTATATTCCACGTTCTGATTATTAATGGATATTTGCAACTGTTTATCCTCATTTTCAGGTGTGCCCCATCTGCCAATGAAGGTCCCAAGAGCTTTACTCCATTCATGTTTTCACAGGTAACTCTATTTTGAGGAGGCAGCTTTTCCCACTTTTATTTTATGTGCCTTCCAACCTGAGGGGCTCATCTTCCAGCCCTATATTTGACAATATTCTGGTGCTACTCAAAATGTTTCAATATTTAATATTCTGGTGCTATCTGACAGTGTTCCACTGCTATTCATACGGTTTTCGATGCCTAACTATTCAGAAGAATAATTGATACATTTGAGTTACGATGTAAGCAAAGATGATTAAATAGACTATGTTCTGTCTGTGACAAGATGAACAAAGGTGTCTTGGAAGGACAACAGAATGCTTCAGAAGTGAGGATGGGGAGACTTTATCTTATGTATTGTGGACGTGCTATCAGGAGGAACCAAGTCTCTGGAAAAGGATATCATGTAGAGGATCAGCTAAAATGAGGAAGATCCTCACTGAGATGGATGGGCTCAAAGGTAACAACAGTGAAGACACAGGCAGCGCTTCGTTCCGGTGGACAGTGGTCACTGTGAGGTGGCCTCGACCAACAACATGAACGCAGTAAGGGGAATGGTCAGAGCGTGCAGGTGAAATGTCCAGCTGCTCTAACGGAGGAGTCAGCGGTTTGAACCCCTTGGCAGATTTCTGAGACTCAAGACCTGGTGATCTACATCCATAAAGAGAACAGACCAGAAAACCCCGTGGGGCTAGTCTATTCTGTCCCACAGGGTCATCGTGAGTCAGAACCACCCGACCGCAGTGGGTCTGACATCTCAGTTTTGACTGGTTCGCTGCATGGGATGATAGCGCATCCCGCCCCCACAAAAATATTTCAGTCAAAGCTGTTCCTCGGGACCCTATATGGAGTCACTATGAGCCAAAACTGACTGCCCAGCACTTAAGAGGTACATGCATGAGGTCCACTGGTACTACACTGTTCACTGTCGCTGTCTGGTCCTATGAAGACTGATTCTCAGAACCTCTGTACAGGGTCACTGTGAGTTGGAACTGACTTGACAGTGAGTTTGGTTTGGGATTTGTTAGTCTATTCGGTGGGCAATGGCATTATGGAAAAGTTTAAAATCCGGTGTCAATAGAGACATGCTCGACGCAGGCTTGTTCCAAACCTTCCATTGATAAACTAAGCAACGCGACACCTGTAACACCAATAAAACAAGACATTCCTGTCTGTGCTGAAATCACGAAGTTCTGAATATACGTGAAACAACGCATACTGCCAACATGAACTTCACCTGTTTCTGTCTGTTTACTTCAAAGTGGATACTGGTGGTGGTTAGGTACCGTGAAGTCGGTTCCAACTCAGAGTGACCCAGTGTAGGGTTTCCGAGGCTGTCAATCTCGACAGCAGCAGAAAGCCTCCTCTCTTCCCACAGAGCGGCTGCTAGATTTGAACTGCTGACCTTGCAGCTCCGTTCGTAATGTACCACACTACCAGAACTCCTCAGAGTGGGTGCTAGAGCATTTTTAATGACATGCCTGCTGACATTACATTTCCACTGGATGGCGCTACTTCTGAGGCTTCCCCACACCCACTCTGGTCACAGGGGTCTCCGGGTCTTCTGTAAGCATGACAAGCTTGGCTAGGCTCCTCCTTACTGTGGTGTCTTTGCACTTCTTCCACCTTTTTTGGGGAGTTCTGGTCCTCACCTCTGTACACTCAGAGCTCTGCCCAATGGCCATGTCCCCAGTCTTTCCTGCCCACCTGGCCTAGCAGTAGCCGGCTCACAGTCCACTCCTTGCCCTGCCTCCTTTGCCTTCAGAGCACTTACACCCACATCTATTGCTCGTCTGTCTCCCGTTGCTCGGTAGCTGCAGCTGAGTTTGATCCAACACATAGCAGAATGAAAACCCTGTCAGATCTCGCGCCATCCCCACAATTGATCGAGACTCACAGGTTTCACTGGTTTGCTTTTCAGACATTTCTTACTGGTTATCCTGGTGCCGACGCTCCCCTGAAACCTAGTTAGAGTCATAGCAACAACCCTGTGCTGCCCAGTGGATGAGGGCTGTATGTGAGCTTCCTTACAACAGGTGAATATATGCCACAAGGGACGAGAATTCCATCTACTGCGTTCACTGTTAATCTTCTAGTTTACAGAATGCCAGCAACAGTGACCAGCAGACACGAGGCGCTCAAAACACTGACTGATTAAACCAGCGTCTCTCAGCGCCGGCATTACAGTGTGTGATGAAAACAGCATCTCTCAGCGCCGGCATTACAGTGTGTGATGAAAACAGCGTCTCTCAGTGTCGGCATTACAGTGTGTGAT